TCAACTGATGGCCCCGCTGAAAGCTTATGCTTTCCTGACATAGAATTAAATTATTTTCTGACAGGTTTTAATTATTCGGTATAGTCTTTTTCTATGCCTACTTATACATACTACAAATGATTTTTGCTCAAATTGCCCAAATAATATCACAAAATGATATCTACACATTAGCAAAGCTTGTTGCTTCACTGCTTCATGTCAAGGCTTTTATTAGCGTTAACATGTTAACCTGTAACTATTTATAGCCTTGAGCATATTTATTTTCTATACAACATTTACAAAAATTTATATTTTAACATAAACATCAAGTATAGAGATTAGGGAGATATATCTTCGTAAGTACTTAAATTGTTTAGAAAATTATGTTCACGGCAAAAAAAACATTTTGTTCCACTGATTTCTACACATATAGTTGTATTTGTAACTCAAATTATACAAAATTTAAATATATATTTAAAGTCTGGCTGACTTCTTACATCTATATTTTGTATAATAATATACAAAATTTCCCTGACCTACGCGAGTTTATTTAGAAAGTAAGCAAAGCAAGGGCGAGTCGATAAATTATATTCAATAAATACATAGACTAAGTATGGAAATCATTTATACCTAAACACCTTAATATTAATTGTCTATGAAAAAATTACGAGATAAGATAACAGGCTTCAAATATGACCATGTTTGTGCGCCATTTGCAGCTGTGAACAAGTAGCGTAGTCAACTCGTTGATCGACAACACAAAGAAGAAAACCCATAAGCGTCTTCACACAATACAATCGCTTTTGAAAGCACAACGCATTATCTTTAAGGTCAATTGTATCAAAAATATATCAGTAATAATAATTGATTCAGCTTTAAAGCAACCAAACTATTTTTTGAGTTGTATATGTATTTTATCATTAAAGCACATTCTTTATTTATTTAAAAAGGTTACAGAAGATTTATATATGGAAGTTGTTTAGATTTTCCTAGTAAAATTTAGTATTATAATTAGCTATATTTTGTTATATTTTTTTATTTATTCCAATTATTCATTTATTTTTCATTAAAATATTAATCTTCTCAACATAACCGATTTTCATCTTTAACGCAGACCATATAAACATTTTCATTTCACATTTTACCACACCGCTTGCCTAAGCTAGGAAGTTTAACTCGCGAGAAGCCGCAGGCCAGGATCAGTAAACAATAATATCGCTTTACACAAATGTAGCTTGCGCTTGCGCAAATGATTGCATACAGGGGTCGCGCTAACACTAAATAGACCTAAGGCTCATATTCATAACACACAGCCCTAATTGATCAAAGAAGTACGAAATTCAAAATATTATTTTAGTACGTGTATGTCAATTCAAGATTACTATGTCAATATAAATCTTAATAACTTAAATAAGTATGACGTTATAGTATACTTATTTGTATTTATTGCTAATACTGATGTTGTAATGGGTCATGGATCCAAACATCAAACATTAAAATATGACTTTTTTAAAGCAGTAGAAATATGTGTGACTTATTTAGTTTTAATCGATTGGTTTATCAACTGTTTATGATATTACGAATACTTCACTAGTGTTGTTTGTTTACTAGTAAAGTATTTCCTAAAATTCTTCATGTTTAAAAAAAAATTCTTAATATAATATGTTCTTTTTTTCTCGAGTCTAGTTATTTAAGTCTAAAATAAAATAATTTGCACCAAATACTTAAAGTTACTTTTAACACTACGCGCTACGGTTCGAATAGGCCAAGTAGTCATTAAGTATTATTTATTTCTATTTAGAATTTTAATGTAAACTTAAAACGAGAACGTACTCAATACAGATTATAAATTTGATTATTAATAATAACAATGGGTGTTACTATTTTAAAATGTAAATAATAGCAAAATACTTACAAAAAGTTAAAAAACATATTTTACACATATTAAAGTCATATTTGTTAAAAAATTTACTGGAATGTTTTACTGAAATTAATAAACGTTTTATATACTAATATAGCATTTACTTATATGTTTAAGTTCACATAAAATATAATAAGTAAAAAACTGTATAAAATTATATTTAAATTTAAGTGTAAATGATACCTATGTCTACATTTTTTATATTTTGTATAGTAGTAAACGCTTGAACGTTGTAACAGTTACGGCGTGGGCGCGGCGCCTGCGGCGACCTATCTCCCTGCGAATTATAATTTCAAAATACCATCGATTTATGCGAACTCTCATCTAAATAAACGCTGGTCCATTTTACGTGGTGCCCTACTTATGGAACTCGATGGGAAATATCAAAATTTACTCATCTTAACAATAATCATATAATGGTAAGTACGCTTTCAAAAAATTGCTAAATAAGTATATTGTTTTTATTGGGGTTGCCTGGATTTCTTGAATATGTAAATATTACTTTAAAAGTTCACATTTAACATTAATTTAAACAGAAGATCAAAAATAATATTTTGAGTCATTATAAAAAATTTAAAACTTTGAGTATTAGAATAAATTCAAGTCAAATCAGTTGCTAGCAGTACTAATAGAATATTAGTTTCTAAGATAACTAGAGCTAAACCATATAATATGTACTTTGTACATATTATGTACATGTATACATATAATAAAATTGTAACTAAACCGAATCTATACATTAAATATTTTTGGAAAATCTTATTGAAATAGACATTATTATCGATACATAGGCCGATTCTACAGTTTTTAGAATTTTAGTCTATCTGTCAGTATATGTGTTTGTCTGTTACCGCATCACACTGGAGGGATTTTGATGAAATTAGGTATGGTGATAGCTGGTTATCCGGGTCAACATATAGGATACTTTTTAAAAATATAAAAACTGCAATGTAAGAGTATACTAATCTGTAATACCTAAGAGTTTGGTTTTTGGTGATCTGAACGCAGGCAGAGCCGCGGGCAATGCTAGTTAATTATATAATTTATATAAAAATAAAGAGGGGGGAAATACAATCGTCCATAAATATCGACAAGTAAAAATTATATTCAACTCAAACACTAGTACCTAAATAATATAAATATAGATAATATGTATAAAAAAGCGAAGTAATTTAATACAAAATATCCGACAGTGCGGCGCCAGTTGCGTTTAATTTAAAATGCCATTTAGATTTTGAATTGGAGATATGTTATTGTTGCTATAATTTTAAAGTACATTTTACATTTAAGCATAACTCTTTAAAGAGCTTTTTTAAAATTCATAGATAAGTAAAGTACGTAAATTAAACAAAGTTACCCGATTCGCCGAATTCATGACATATTTTCTGATTAAATCGTTGTTGTTATAACAGGTACACTCAGGTCTGGTATGCGGCCGCCCTTATCAAAGCAACAAGTTTGCCTTCAAAAAGCTTCAGATGACCTCCGATACGAGCAAGGAACTCACGAAACAACTTGTAACGAGGCTTTGGAACACTCGTGAACTATTTATAACCTCTTCGTACGCTTAAGTAAGATCTGCACTTAGCAGGTTGGTATTTGGGAAATAAACATTCCGTATAATTGATGTTACTTCTTTACATGATTGGGTATATAATTTAAATCCTGTATTTTTATAATTTTTCTATATTTTTTTAATTTACAAGTAAGCATAGATAAAAGTATAGATATAAAGTAAGTAAATTTTAATAAATATGTATAATATTCCTAATAATTTTATGTACAATGGTTTCAGTAAGTAAATAAAGAACATAATATTTAATTACACGTAGCCAGCATTAATATGGAAAAACTTAAAATAGCCTAGGATTGAGGTTCCCAGAGCTCCATTAGCAGATACAAGATAGCGTGCTCTGAATAGAATCGATCCTTGACGCCCTATCAATATGTCGTTAAAGAGATAAGACGTATTACTTGTTAAACTGTTTGCATACAGACTTCAACGAAAACCTGAATATATGCAGTTTTCAACCGACTTCAAAAAGGAGGAGGTTCTCAATTCGACTGTATGTTTTTTTTTTTTTTTTTTTTTTTATGTTTGTTACCTCAGAACTCCGTCATTTATTAACCGATTTGGACAATTTTTGTGTCGTTTGAAAGGGTATGCTTCCAGATTGGTCCCATTTAAATTTCAAAAAAAAATACCACCCCTAAGGGTGGAAAAACAACTAATGATGAATTTAACCTACTTCTAATTGTCATATTGACTTGAAACTTTGCAAGTATTTCTATTTCCGTTGATAGTACAGTGGTTCGGTGTTGTTGACCTGATCTGATGGCAAGGCCAGAAGGTGGATAGGTGGAACTCTTCAACGGCTAATAGTAGATACTCTGAGTTTGGGCTTATTTTGTTTGATTTGACAAGCCTAACACGTTAGAATCCTTACTTTTCTACTACTGTCTACACTAAAAAGGGAAAAATAAAAACTTTTTAACAAAAAAATAAAAACCGACTTCAAACAAAAGCACTAAAAAGTAAAAAATAACTGATTGGTAGTTTTCATTTACTATACATACCTAATCAAATATTTTCGAAGTCGGTGTGCTTTGGCTAAGTAATTAAAGCCTACCTATTAAATACAAACCTAATCAAATGTTTTCGAAATCGGTGACAGCCCATACAAAGCAAAGCACACCGACTTCGAAAATATTTGATTAGGTATGTATAGTAAATGAAAACTACCAATCAGTTATTTTTTACTTTTTAGTGCTTTTGTTTGAAGTCGGTTTTTATTTTTTTGTTAAAAAGTTTTTATTTTATATAATACAAAACTATACTTTTTATTTGTTTCTTCTTTGGTTGACTTAATTTTTTAAAGGTAGGTACTTATGTAGCAGAATGTCGATATTTTTAAAATAAAAACCTACTTTAGAACGAATTTAAATTAGGTAGTATAATAAAGAAACAAATTTAACTTTAAAGAAATAAGAAATTACTGCATTACAATAACTTGCATAATTTGGCATTTCCGTAAAAGTTTAATACGGTAAGTTTGGAATCCATTGCTACTTTTAATTTATTAAAATATAAGGTACTCACATCATGCGTAGTGTCTCCTCGATGTATTCTTTCCTCGGTTTCTCGTACGCGGTCGGTAATGTTTCTAGTGAGGACGCGTCGGTCGAAGCTCTCGCGCACTTTACCATCTGGGTTTGCGACCACGCAAGACGATACAAGTACTTTGGCGCCGGCCGGTGTAATTGTACCGTCAGGTGCATCCTCCAATGCTGTTAAAAAAAGTAACGTATCCTTAATATTATCACTACAAATTATAAATAAAGGTGACTTTGGGATTGGTCGGGCTAATCCTAGGAAGTACTGTACTGTAGATTTTCATACAGTTCTCACCGATAGAAAGAGCGATTTCCTCTGAAATGTCAAGGCTATAATTTTATGTAAACACTAGCGACTCACCCACGCTTCGCTCAGGTTCGTCCCTAAGTTGATTCCCCATACAAACTTTCATCCCCATTTTCACGCCTTTAAGGGATGATTTCTGGGATAAAAAGTATCCTATGTCTTTCCTAGGATCTTTAACTATCTTCTTACCTTTCATCTAAATCGGTTCAGTAGATCCAGAGCTTACACCCGTCACAAACTCACAATTCACAAACTCACAAACTTTACCTCTTTATAATATTAGTATAGATATTGAAAAATAAATAGATGTATAATAATATCTGTGAATTGAGTCGGAAAAATCGTCTCGAATAAATATGAAAATGTCTTTGACGTTTAAATGATTTTTTGGTTATGCTTTTTGATTGATATAAATAAAAATATACTTTTTGTAAGAAAGCAATTACCTTCAAAGGATTTTCCATCATTTTCTTGAGTCAACTCAGCATTATCTTCTGCACGTTGATCTTCGGGCACTCTATGCTATTAAGAAAATTTTAAGTGTTAAATTTATTTTATATAAAAATATTTCTAATATTAATAATGATAAGAATTTCGTCTTATCGAAATCCATCTAGACATTCTCAAATGAAACAAATAAAAAGGGTTATATACTCTATGGAAACAAAGGTCTCTTTTTTTAAGAAAAATCTTAAATCTGTCACTATATACGACCCGATATCCTACAAGAAAATTAATATTATTTTGTTCCAAAACGATTTGAAAAATTATTTATTTAATAACTTAACACATGCGAAATTTTGAAAAACTTACTTTTAATATTCCCGTAGTTTTAATATTTAATATAAGCATTTTCCTCAAATATAAATTTTAATGATGCAATAAATAGTAACAACACCTGCTAAGAAAAGCTCATGAGTCAGTTCATTAACGTAGAACGTGATTACGTTTGCGTTATAGCTGTTACTGTAATGAAAGTCAGTGTGAAAATTATATAGCTTTTGTAAGCAAATAAAACTATAAATCTATAGTTTAGTTATAGTTTCTAAATATTTATTGCAGTTCAATGATTATTTAGTTTTAATAGTTTTCTGGAAATCGTTTATTAACACCTCGAAGTTAGTATACCCATACATATTACATACCAATTTTGAGTTAAATTTGAACATATTTACTGAAATTAAATTAACGTGAGTAATTTTATTGAATATAATATATATGAAGGGCAGAAGTACACTACAATATATTTTACGTGGTGAATAGAATCCTTATTTCAATTTTATGTAGAAAAAAATGTCCAAAAGCCATTTTGTTCTTCTGTGATAAAATAAATATATAAAAATAGTTTACAATATTGTAGCGAAATTCCCTTTCCTAACGCAATAACAATATAGATCCTATCCACAGACAGATCCACTCTGAAAATCTATTCTAAAATATATTGGTCCAACAATATAATATTTAGAATTCCGATGAGTAGTTTCAGAGATAACATCCTACGTCCAAACTTACAAACTTTACCTCTTTGTAATGTTAGTCTAGTAAAAAGCAAAGTACATTGTACTATACCTCAGTTTGTTGAAAATTAGTTGTATGTGTGTCTTCATTGACAGAGGTAGATATCTTTGGCCCGGAGTCGCTGAGAATGCGCCCATCCTCTAGCACCAGCTCGCGCTTCACGCGGGTAGCAATCTGCCGCGTGGTTGTCACCTCGCTCGTTTTACGAGTTACCCATTCCTCTAGAAAAGTAATAACGGATATATATTTCATACGCATTAATAATTTTAATAAACCTCCACTGACTTACAAAAAACCACCTTGTCTCGTTATTGTTTTATAAATATTGAAGCTCAATTTAACATCCGTATACTAAATACGTTATTACGAACCGTTTATTTTCCGGGATAAAAATTAGCATATGTGCCATTCTGATATAAGAACTATATTATTGTAAAGTTCTATTAAAATCCATTCAGTAGTTTTTGCGTAAAAGAGTAACAAACATCCACACATCCTCACAAACTATCGCATTTATAATATTAGTAGGATTTATTAAGATTACTAGAAAAATAATACAAAATGTCTCGTAGCATAAATCCGGTAAAATAAATAAAAACATAAGTAAACCTCCTGCGTTTTAGTATTTATAATTTAAAAATATTTTAACAGATATTGGGGTAAAAGTTCAAAAGTTCTATATGTTACAACTTACCTTCTTTGGTTGTGGCTATAGTCTCCCCCGGCTCGGCCTTTAAAAGGAGAAATATTGTTATTAGTAATTTTATTAATATTGAAGATTGAATTAAAATACCTAACAAAAACTTAACAGTACACAAGGATTTGGAATAAATAAAACTAATATAATAATAATAAAAATAAAATATTATTATTTTTATACTATATCACGAATAAATTCCAAAACAGAGTAAGAAACAATCATTTCATTTCAAACACTAAATATTATAAAAATATATTAATAAGAATAGATACAATTCATTAATATATTAACAACCCTCTTCAGCATTATAATTTTTGAATGAGTTATTTCATCACTTGGCAATAATAATATTGATTTTTAAATTAATTTAACTTATCTCTTTTTTTTATAAACAATCTATTTCAAGATTTAAGGTATCACCATACCGAATTTTGTTAAAGTTAAAAGAAGATTAAATATTGCTAATAGCGCCATCTCTTACCGAGTAGTTAAAATTATCAAAAGCTAAGTCTCCGTGCACTGAAGATCGAGATGTATAATGTAAAAGTATCCGCGGCCGCCGCTTGATGGCGCCATATTCACTTAACGTAAAAACTGTCACCATTAAAATACATAAAATTGAGAATAAAGTTTGTTGGCAAATTCACTCACTAAATCTCTCAAAGTATCACTGTATGTCTATTTATTGAATATTTCACATATAAATTCATAAGATTTATACTAAACACTCGATCCTGAAACAGGTTTCTCAACGTAGAATTAATATGGCTATAAAATATGAAATTTATTATCATAATAAAATTATTTTAAAAATGTAAAATTGTTGATAAATTTTATCACCGCGATTTATGGTTCGTACGTTTAAACACCTAACCGATATTTTACTGACGGCAAACTAAAGGTTAGCTGCAATACAATTAGCCAACCAAACGGATTAACATTTTCTTTTGGCAGTCCATTGAAGTTAGGGTTGTTACTTAAAAATTCTAAATTATGAATGAAAAATCTGTCGCTTTTTTTTTACCGTCTGAGAATAAGTAAAACACAATTTATTACATTTTAAATTTCTGCGTTAATTATTTTGTTTCTAAATATTTTTGCATAATTATTATTTATTATGTATTCAGCCCTTTTTAACGTCCCACTGATGGGCACGGGCCTCCCTTCAATACGAGGGGGATCAGGCCATAGTCCACCACGCTGGCCAAGTGCGGGTTGGCGTACTTCACATGTCTTTCGAAAACTTGCTAAGTTCTCTAAGACATGCAGGTTTCCTCACGATGCTTTCCTTCACCGTTAAGACAAGTGGTAATCATGTTGGAAATGATTCGCACATGGAAATATCAGAGGTGCGAGACCCGAGACTAGAACCTACTTTACTCGGTTTCCCAAGCGAGCGCGTTACCACTGGGCTACCACTGCCTTATATTTACAAATAATAAGTACCACGTAAAAATAGGTACGAAAACGTTTGTCATCAAAGTATGTTATTAGGATTCCAGTATAAAATTTTAAAACTGTACACAATCATTTGATATGTTCCACATACATATGTACATTTTTAATTGTTAAATATAAAAAAACATATATGTATTATGTACTTAATACCTACTTATTAATATTTTGTAAATCGCAATACGTGACAAGATAAAAATCTTCGTTACGTTCCCACGTAAGTATATAAATCAAAAACATCTGTTAAGATTTATAAAAACAATTAATTTCAATTAAATAATAATTGACATTAATCTCTCTCTCTCTCTCTCTCTCTCTCTCTCTCTCTCTCTCTCTCTCTCTCTATTCCCTTCCTCGTCAACTTCAAACTGAAATAGATACTGAAGTAGATGAGGTTTTACTTAATTTAAATAATTGCCACACCTTAAATTTTGATACAAGCGTACCCTTAATATATTTAAGCGTATTTTTTTTTATATAAAACATGATTAAGGTTTAAATCTCTGCGAACTCCTTATATAAGAGAAACGACGCATGATTGTTTTTTTAAACAGCCAACAAAGAACAACATTATAAAATAACATTGAGTCCTGTATTACAAAACCACCCGGTAAGCAACCCTGAAGCGATACCGCAATACGTATTCCACGAGCAACAGCCGCTTCCGGTAGGAACGCACGACAGTTGGAGGTGTCACATCATATTAAATATATATATCTTAACTTATACATAATTACAAACTTACGCCCTTTATTTCAATTGTATATACAATAATTTTAACTATTTTAATCGTTATGGTTTGTATATTATTTATATACAAATTATTTTTTATAAGTACATTGAAAGCTTTTTATAGAACGAAAGCTTTTTAAAACCCATTTTTTTACTATTATTCTATTTCTGATTTATTTAGATAGTATCACGATGTATAAGCACTATTCGATCTCTAGTATTTTATACCTACAATTCAAGACAAAGCAGTAAAAATAGCTTTATAAAATGTAAATATGGGAATATTGTACCTAATGCAAATATTTAATTTTCGTATAAATATATAAGTATGTATATTCAGCTTATCGTATTGAACTCTATGATATCACGTAAAGCAATTTTGAGGCAACGCACGTCTATCTGTCAGGGAGTGAGAAGTGTCGCCTACGATACGGAAAGTTTTTCCATTTAGGTACAACGTGAGGACAAGTGGCGCGAAACTACTGCACGTGTCTGGATAAAATAAATCTATTAGTAGGATGGAATTCCGTAGTACCTTTTAGGCTTAGAAATTTATTAAAACCTAACCTTATTTAAAAAAATTCAATCTGACTTCCAGACATTAAAAAGTTTTTCATTTACAATTAGTACCTATTTAAATATCTTTGAAGTGCCAGCAAACAAATAGCAAATCTATATATTTAGATACATATGTATAAATATTAAATACATTGCAAATTGGTAAATAAATTAATCATAATTAAACGTAATCCATCGTAAGGTCATATCTAAGTTAATTGTTCATTTTCAGTGCTCTATATCAAAGAAACGATAATAATTTAAACCACACAGCTCAAGGTTGGACAGGTCAGTCGAACTGTCTCCGAAAAGTCCAGTAAACATTTTAACAAATCATACGCATCAAACATAATATGAACTCCTTCCTTTCCGACTTCAAGGCTACATACATTTTAATTAAAATTTAAATAGATCTTAAGTATTTAAGAATTACTATCGTGTCGATATGTCGTTATTTGCGCGATACTAAAGCGTAAACATCTATTAAAAAATTATGTCAGTCCGTTGAAATCTCTAATGGGCCGAGTATATTAAGAGCTTTCACTAATATAAGCTACCATTTATCCCGGATCTTCACCTTCATTTCTATGGTGATCAGTTCCTGCAGGAAAGAGGATAAAAAATAATACATAATTGATTTTTACGTGCGTTTTACTGATGATGAGATAATCGGACCTCAGTTACATAGACTTTTATGATCGTAACACGTGAATGGAACCATAAGGGAAAGCTTATATTTCAATCTGTGGGTAATATGTAAATATATGTATGAGATACATGTGTCACTGGCCGCGCCCTTGCAGTGGCTAACGCAGCGCATCGCGCCGAGGCCGATGCATTGTGATGCAACATGTCAGCTCATTGTTCATTGAATTAGGTCACGGTTTAAATGATAAGTAAACAACGGTTCAGGAAGTATGTTTAGATAAATCTTATTAATTTTTTTTCTTACTACCTAATTCACAGGGGTGAAGAGCAATTAATTTCATACGCATATAAAAATTTGCTATTTATATTTATATTTAATGAAATATATTCTTAATCTTAACACAATATAAAATATTAAGAATCGTTTAATATGAAAAAATATGGAGTTTTATGAGTATATTATATACCTAGTGCGTATACAATAAATGCCAACAGAAAAAATTATCCACACTTGTAGATTACGTCCGGTCATTCGATACAATACTCGTTCAATAGTGATGTAGAACGATTGTGCATTAATTAACCTGTACTTATTGTTGCTAGCAACCTTCAACCCCGGTGACCGCCTGCGGCTGCGGGAATCAATATCAGAATATAGTAGGTTAACCAACCATTTTGATTTAAGAATATTTAATTATAATTATATTATTAAATTAATTATTAAAACAGAAACAAATGGAACCCACGAGAACTGTACGTTTTTCCGGAATAAAAAGTAGCCTATGTCATATGTGTTTGTTATTCTAGACTATAATCTATATCTGTGCCAAATTTCATCCAGATCTAGCCGTTCTGGCGTGATTGATTAAGAAACATCCATTCTAAACTTTCATATTTATAATATTAAGTAAGATGATAGTATAATTATATTTTTTTTTCTTGTATATACTACATAAAAATTAAAAAGACATTTTTCAATAAGGCAAAACAGGATTTTTTATCTGATGTCTCCAACATATTGTGAGCAAGTTGCTTATTGACTGACTTCAAAAAGAAAGAAGTATTCAATTAAGGTAAATGTTTTTTTTTTAACTTTTTTAAAATAGGTTATCAAAATCAAATAATGTGTTGTTATGTTTATATTTTTTATCTATATCTTCGCTAATTATAAACAGATTTACATAATTCTTTTTTTAATGGATAGGTTATTAGCTCTTATGGCTCATATAAACATTTTACTCGTACTAAAGGAATAATTATTAAAAACTTGATTTTGAATTTTCTTTTTAAATTATTTAAGTGTTTGAGTGAAACTTGAAACTTGAAAATGAGAGGGGAAAAAAGATTGGCGTTACAATTTTTGTAACGGAAACGGTTACGCTGGACCGTTACGCTACGGGAATGAAACTTCTTTTTTTAAACTATTATATGAATACTACCAAGAATAATTTAAATTATATAAATAGATATTTATAAAAAAATACTTTTTCATTTTTACATGAGCGATGGAATCATATCAAATAAATATTGTTAAAAATTATGTAGGTACTTGAAGTATTTTTTATACATTATAAATATAATTAATTTTCATTAAAAAATACGTTGTTTTAATTAAAACATTAATTAACCCTCATAAAATGTGCCGATAACCTACAGACGTTTTACTTCTTGCGCGTGTCCACATTGATACAGACACTCTTTAATTTTTTAATTCATTGATTTAATTTTTTGACTTCAATTATTTAATTTTTGACGACACGTTTCGTTTGTAGTTTGTAGTTACCCTACTTGCTGCGTCAGCGGTCGCGGGTTCGAGTCCCGCTGGAGGCATTCATTTGTGTGAGGAGCACGAATGTTTGTACTCCTATATTTAAAGTTATAAATGTGTATCAACTACCTGATTTACGCTGTTGTGTACGTTTAGATTTTTAAACTACGCAACGGATTTTATGCAGTTTTCAGGAATAGATAGAGTGATTCAAGAGGAAGGTTTACATGGATAAAACTTGCATATTATAGTACAGAAAAGCCGAGAAATTCAAATAATTATGTATTGTGCGCTTACATTGCCTACCTAGAGACGAACCCGAGCGAATCGAGGGCGAGTCGCTTGTACTTAATAAAATGACTCATTAGATTATTAAATGATATTTTATGAATGCTGCAAAAGGTCATTCCAAATAAGGACATAATTCTAACAACATACTTCTC